TCAGAAAAGCATATTCATGCAAAAGATTGATGAAATTTATCTTCATTGATAGTAGTTTCTTTTTTAATAAACTTTTCATTTTATAAATAATCTACAGAAAAGGTTGGATTGTAAGAAAAAAAATTCATCAGAATAAATTCCTGCTATGGTTTATGGTATTATTTAAACTGATTCATATCTTTTGTTGCTTAACTTTTTAAAGGTTAGTTTCAGCTAAAAAGAAATAATTGGTTTAAATATTAAATAAAGCAATCTTGAATCTGACTTAATTTTGTTTCCCTGAAAACTTTTAATGAGATAGTCTGGCAGCATTTTCATTATTTTGAAAGTATTCTTAATACTGAATGGTACTTTAAGGAATATTAAAATTAGTCATACTATTTATTAACATCATTTTATAAAAGGCACACACGATAAATGTTTTCATAGTTATTGCACCTTAAGTGAATGTATTCATATGTATATATTCTGTATCATTACCATTTGTAAATACCACATTCATTTTCATGATTATGTATATATTTTTGCAGCTTTATATTATATTCATTGTTAAGAGAAATGTTATGATTTAAGTTATTATAAATGAAACCTGTGCTAAAAAATTTATATGTTGAACATTTCTAACTGCTAAATAAAGTTTTAAACAATTGTATAAAATTTTTTGAATAAAACAAAAGAACTATTGAGTAAATAAATTTTTTTTAAATGGATTTTTTTTTTTTTTTCTATTATCTGATGCTTTACAGAAGAGTTTACTATTAAAATATTCTTGAAAAATTAAAAAAGTATAAATGTTAATTCCTTAGAAATATGTTCTATTCATTACAGCAAAATCACAAATATGAAATAAATTACTGTTACTATTGGATATATTATAAATGGATACGTGTAACATAAAAATATATACTAACTTTAATTTGCAGTTTGTCTCTTCATTCTTTATTTTAATTTGGATATTTCCTTTCTCCTTCCTTTTCATAACAGTAGTGACACATAATTCGGAACTGAAACCCAAATACTCTTAAACTAGGCCTCCATACTGGAATGTGATGAATTTGTTTTCTGCCTCTCTTGCTAACTAGATTTATTAATGCCCGCCAGCTTCAAAAATGTAATAATTGTGGCCATGTTTATTTTGTGTTTGCCATAACCATAAAGAAAATATTAATTCAACCACATCTGCAAACTTTGTCATTCATTCTGTTAAGCATTCATGCGAGTAAGCTTTTTTGATTATGCATCAAATATCCACTTGCAACATTTCCAGATCTCATATATATATAGTATAGGGATTTATGTTAATCACCCCAGTTATGTTACTATAATTTTCATCAATGCCCATGAATTAATGTTAAGTATATATCAGTTCTTGGGAGAGAGAGAACTTTAGTTTCCCTGCTGCTTGTTGGCTTTAGCTTCAGAAAGTTGCATTTTGTTTTGAATGAACTTGAAGGGGCTAGAAGTTTGGTTCACTGAATTTGATCCAATATGAAAAACAGATTATCTCGCAAAAACTTGAAAAAATAAATGATTAATCATTTTAAAAGCCCGATTCCTTGAATGGCCTATTAAATTTACATCTTATTTGCTGCATTTCATGTAAACTTATTTCCTATGATTTCATTAGAGATATATTTCTAATTCAATTAATTCAGTTCTCACTTCGCGTCAAAGCAAAAATACATAAAAACTCGAAACATCTTCATTCAAAATTGTAAAATACAGTTAAAAATTATTTTTCACAATTAAGAGTTCCTACACAAAAACAAGGAATTTGGCAAGTGGGCAAGAAGGTAGTTTTTTTGGTGCAGAAAACAAATTTTGCTGTTGGTCCCACTCGGCAAAAAGACACTGAAGGTGCAGAAACTGAATTCACTATTCTACCCCCCCCCCGACTTTCAAATAGAGGTTGGTTACGCTTAACTCACCACTTAAACTTTTAAATTGGTGATAATTGTACAATTACTGTATACAGATTAACTTAAGGTGTAAAAACTGCATAATTCAATCACTTTTAAAGCAAAAAATGCACAATTTAGCAACATACAAGAATAAAAATCTTAAGCTCACCAAGCCAGGTAACACAGTGGGAAAATATATGTATGATTGGTGCAGCCAATGGCAACAAAAAGGGAGGTGCACAACTACATGTTATAGCAGTCCTATATACGAAATTTCAGTGTTCTATGGGTACTCGTTCTTGAGTTATGCGAGATACATAGTTATATACAGATGTCAAGGGAAAAAATCTCTTCTGAATACATTTTAAAACCTTTTTTGGCAAAAACAGCCCTTTATTCTGTCTCTATGTACAGAAGTTATGCAAAAACTTTGTTCAAATAGTTTAAGAGCAGTTGAAATTTGATAACCGAAATGTTTCATGATTATAATGCTTCCTTTAGTTCAAATAGTTTCAAGAGTAGTTGAAATTTGATAATCGAAATTTTTCGTGATTATACTTCCTTTACTTCATACAAGAAAATGAAAAAAGGCTAATATTATCACCTCTACGAAATGAAGTGGCCAATAAACGTAATTTATGTTTTCTATTCCTTATCTTATCATGCGTTACTATTTTTACATGACAAATTACTTGATGTATATCTTGTTTCGATTCTTCTTTCAAATTACCAATTTATAAATATAATTACAGTAAAATATGTTTAACGCGAAAACGCCCAAGACAAAATAATACAATGGTCCCAACAAATTACTATGTATTTTCGTGCATTTTGTTTCTCTTAACACGAAAAGATATCCTTTCTAAAAATGAACAAAATACGGAAAACAACTACTCGAACTTCTACTTCCTTCATTTTGAGTTGCTCGAATCTTCGCTAATTCTATTTCGTGTTCTCTTTCTGTTTTTAATCTTTCTTCTTTCATTTGTATTCTTTCCATTTCTTCTTTTCTTTTCTATTCTCCACTGTAGTAATCAGAATTTCTTTTACGAAATCAGTATCTTCGAAATCAGTATAATGTACTTCAATGTAAAGTTTATTCCTTGCAATTCTGGAGTTTGTGCTTCAGTTCTACCAGCTTCAAATCTGGGGATGCTTCTTCGCCAATTTCCAATAGAACTGTTACTAAATCCTCTTTCTTTGTGTTTTTGAACATTTTCTTCTATTATCCTTTAGAAACAAGCTTTTCGAACTCTCAATTAAATAATTCTCATGTTTCTACTCCCTATTGCAAACGCGCACTTCTTTCGCAAGTTAGGCTTAACTTTACTCTACTTCTGTTTTCAACGCTCTAAGCTTCTAACCTCTCTGGTGTTTCTTGTAAGAGAGCGTGTTGTAATGGCTTCGTGGTTCAATAAGGCGCCATTTAACAAGACGAAACCAACATTTATTAAAAATAAGGTTCAGAGCATAATACAGTCAAAAGTCGTTAATTCGGACACCCATAATGCGGAATGATCTATATTCCGGACATCAAAGCTATAAACTTTCTGTGCATGCGTCGCTTTGACACATGTGCGTAAGACCTTTACGGTTGTGAATATGCGTGCATGCATAATACGTTTACGCTTGCGCGTTTAATGTATAACGGACAGTATAAGCTAAGCTAAAATTATCTAATTCAGTTAATGTTGCAGATTGCGTTGTTCCTTAATCTTCGAATTGGATCCGGCTTATTATTTTTTGCAGACTGTTAGAGCAATTTTATAAAAGTAAGCTTGAACTTTCGATTTTGTCAAATAGAATTTCTGACATATATTTACTAATATGTAAAGGATCTACAAAGTGAAAATATGTTTCGAAGTCCATTAAACAAAAAGTGGAATTGATGCAAAAAATTGATAAAGGCATATCCTTCGTTTTGCTAACCATTCCGAAATCTGTTCATCAATTTCACGTTGCTATGCAGCGCGCTGGGGGGGGGGGGGGGACGCCGTGGCGCACAATGAATTGGAAGTTATTCTGTCAGCACTATCCTTATCTTCAGGACAGATGTTTTGATTTTATTTGGCTTATAATTCCTTACTAAATGTAGTATTTCATCTCAGTATACTCCGTCTTCGATATGATTTAAATAGAATTCCTTGTCATTATAATTCGCTTCCGATAAAGAAGAAAGTGACACAGAGGTTATTGAAAACGAAAAAATTTCGATTGACAAATTAGTCGGTATTCTCGGCACAGCAATCACGGGACTTGAACAGCGGAACTTCATAACTGAACAAGAAATTATGTCTGTTCATAGAATTAAAGAGAAAGTATTATCACATAAAATGAAGCAACTTAAACAACTTACATTGAAAGAAATGTTTAATAAAGTAAACAAATAAATATTAAGCTTTTTTTTTTTTGTAAATTTTGATACCCTTTAGATCATAATTTTTCTTTATTTCATAAATTATGGTTTCATATTTTTAATTTTATAATTTCTGCATGCCATCTTACCAGATTTAAACTGATGATCTATAACCCAGAATCGCCGAAGTCCCGACGAGTCCGGATTAACGACTTTTGACTGTATTGAACTCAGAGCAGTACGTCGCTCCTACAGCATAGTACAATCTACAACCTTCCTCTCCTGAGGCTAACATGCAACTCTCAATAAATACATTAACCCTTCTTGGAGAAAAGCTACATGCGCCAAGGATGCTCTGTTGATAGCCAAACAGTCGCCAGATATCACAGAGGGATTTGGTTTTGGAAGATCTCACCAGATTTTTGGAATATTTATTGATACGAATGTATTGCAAGATTTTACCTGGCAGTATCTGATTTCAATGGATACTCTGAGGATTTTTCAAAATTGAACGTTTCAATAATTTTTGCGTAATCAAATTTAACATTTCTTAAAAAATGTTTTAAATTAATCTAAAGTGTCATGCTACTTCCAAAATCTATGCTGTTTGCATGTTCTTTTTCATGTACCACATACTTCGTATCATATCAGTGTTTTTTTTCTTCTCCCCCCCTCTTAATTTCAGTTTGGAAAGAAAACAAGTAGTTAATTTTTTTCACAAACACAAAAGAAATCAAACTAAGTGCAAATCAAAAAGTTTATTCTTTGTGTGGCACAGTATTTTATTATATACATAAGTCAAGGTGATGATATATATAGTCCCCCAAAAATTGTTTAAGTAAATCATTTACATATCTGTATAAATGCATAAGTAAAGAATTCAAAGAAGGCAGTTTCTTTAACAGATGGGGGAAGATAGTGTTAAACAAATTAAAAATAAATTTGTACTAAGATGCCACTTGAAACAGTGTCAAAACCAGCTTGGCACATGCTTCTTAATGTCACCGGATACAAGTTTTTGGCAGCATCTTAATTCAGTGTGAAATTTCATTTCAAAGAACTTAAAAACAATCCGCAATTTGCCACAGATATTATAATAAAAAAACTAAGCACACAATGAGAAGATATAACAATGTAAAAGTAAATTTCATAACCATTAAGAAATAACATAAAAAGTATACAGTAAAACATTTTTTGTTCAGCCGTTCCAGCAGCATCCATTTTACATGTTAACATACATAATAATTTGTCCCATCAGGTAAACTGAATACATTTCCCACTTGCTATTTGAATGACTAGGAAACCTCATGTTAATTACAAATCATTTCTTTCATACTCTCCAGAAGTGACTTGGATACCTTTCTTTCTCTGCTCGCAGAGCGCTTATGATCGAATCCTTAAAAAAATTTTAAAAAAAAATATATAATTGGATTTTACATTTTTGAAGCACAGAAAAAACATTTAAAATTTCATGATCTCAATATACAAAAGCATCATATTTCTAAGTGAATTAAAAATGTATATGAGTAGATAATTATCCAACTCCTAAAACCAAAAGCTGTTAATATTCTAAAATTGGTACATGAAGTAATAGTAATAAGTATTAAAGCTCTCAATGCTGAACATGGTAAAACTTGAAAAGAGAAGGACCGTTCTTTAAAAGGTTATTTTCAAACACGGGAATAGGATATTGCCAATCAATCATATTTAATCTTATACTACTCAACAGTTATTTAATATTGTATGTATGATAAATTGATATGCTCTACTAATTCATAAATCAACTGCACCTAAAATAAAATTATTTGGTTATGACCAAATTTTTGCAATGAAATACCAATCATGATTTTATATACATAATTTTTAGCTTAATTTGATCCATGCACTTTAGATAGATAAAAAGGAAGGAAATGGGGGGGGATAGCAAAAACCAGTAAAAGAATAATCAAGGTATTTTGTAATGCAAGTAAAAAGTACAGCAATTGAAACTTTATAAAAACCAATCAGTAACTAAATTATCTTTTAAATGTTTGTATTATTAATAAAGTTATTATTTTCCTATACAACACAGTGCATTTTTTTATTATTTAAAATCCTGTAACAAAAATTTTCGTAGTTTCTTTTGGGGGGGATGCTGGAAAGATGAATGATATTTAAATATATTTCAATGGAAAATATTGTTCCAGGAAAAATGTAGATTGGCTTATGAGCTCAGTAATGAAAAGAATTAAGCTCGCATGCTGAGAAACCAATCTATGGCCATTTCCAAAATCCTGTGCAGTAAAAATCTGAAATAATTTCAAATAATTCTGAATATTGTTGTGAAACACGCACATCATATATATTTTCAAACTGCAACGAGTATAGCTTTGTTTAATTTATTAAAAATTAATTCATAATTACATACATCGATTCACATAGTTGATTTCTTTTTGTTTTCTCAACAGTTTTTTAAATAATTGCTAAGTTCGGGGGGGATTACTTTCTGAGAACTGCTATGTTTATATTTTTCTTTTCCGACAAATGAAAATTCAGTAAGGTTAGCAAAACATTTTGATGTGGACTATTGCTTACAGCTTAACTCTTTAAACATTAAATTAAAACTTGCAGTATGCATATCAACAAATTTCACAGATGAGAAACTGCTAGAAAGAAGAGAATGGGTTCATGGATTATAAGCTGTTGCCCAGTTATGCAATAAATTATTCTTAAAACTTAATTAGAACTGCTAATTACCAACAGTCATCATAAGGATTTTCTAAACCAAAGGCTTCATATGTAGTTTTGCGTAATGAGAACAATTTTCAGTATGTGCAGCACCTAAGCTTTTTATATATCACTCATACAATTAAATGAATGTTCAACAATGAATCCACAGAAGCAAGTTAAAACAAATTTAGCAAGTTGACTGACCGGCACTCTACTTGGCTAGAGCGCTGTGGGGGCCACCGGTGACGCAGCAAATAATAAAAGTACATAATTATAGTAAATATGGATACTGATAAAATTTTTCAATAATACCATAATTGTTATTATAATGGTTTGAAGAAATTAATGCAACATAGAACATACAAAAATAATTTTATTAGTACACGAAAAATATAAATTTTATGAGTGAATATTGAGATGAGTCAAATTGAAACATTCAAGGCAAAGAAAAGGTGCAATCGGAACAATATGTCACCACTTTTTTAATCAAATTATTTGCTTTAGTTCATCCTAGCTGCTTCGAATTTTTGTTATAGCACACCTTGTAAAATTGTAATTTTTTGCGCATTTCCCAGCATTTTGTTAAATTCATGACGAGGTCTGCTTTGTAAGCATTTAAGAAATACAATCATTATCGGAGCATTTCGTTATGAAACACTGCTAATTTCATCCTAAAATCAAGAACTGCAATATTTTTTCGGGTTACTTGTTTGAATAACACTATTGAATTAACAATAGAAGTATTTAGTAAAAGTTCCATTGCCAGTTTTTTTGTACCATTTTATAGTTCTACACAGTGGTGAGCTATAAGTAATCATTTGATCAGATAAGTTGACTGCAGATTACCCTAAATTATATTCAACTATCATTTTCGGCTTTTCTTTTCAACAGTTTCTTTTTTGTATAGTTGTCATTTCTACTGAATGTTTTGTAGATAACATCAACACATCTCTTTTTGTCTTTCCATTTTAAGACAGTTACTCCATTTTTATTTTCTTGCGGGATAACATCTCCACGCTTTAATGTTTGAGCAATTACTTCTTTTGGATTGCAGCGGCGATTTTTCCGTAGGGTACCCAATAAATGTGTACAGGTAACAATCTTTCCGCCAGATCAACGCTTGTGAACCAATTATCTCTGCAGATAGTGTGGCCTTTGCCTAAAATATCTTGGTAAAGAACCATTATAATCTCAGTCGACTTATTTCCAGATATTTCAACTGTATTTTTGACATATAGATTCGAAATGAATACGTATATCCTGGCCCACTACATAATTTTAAAACTTTAATGCCATACCTGTGACATTTTTGTTTCAGATACTGGCGAAATACTATGCAACCTCGAAATGGCACTAAGGATTCATCCCCGCATGGTATCTCATCTGGTTTATAATATTTCTTAAAATTACTGTTTAAATGATTGATAATAGGAGCAACTTTAGATAATCTATTTTGAGGATAATTTTCTTCATTATTACTGAAGTGCAATAACAATTCGAATCGACTTCTTTGCATAATTGTGCATGGAAGTGTCAATTTTCAGTAATTGCACTAATCCCATCTATATAATTAGGCCAAAGAAACATTTTATTTCATTAGCATTTGTTTTATACCATTGACGTAAACGATGGGATTGCAGTTCGGATTTCTTTTGAGTAGCATAGATGTTTGTTTGCTTTGTAATAATTTCGAATATTTCATCAGTAAAAAAAAAGGAAATAAAAGTCATGTGGTTCCGTACAAGCAAAAATTTCTGATTGACATGTGCTGATACCTGATGAATCAGAAAACGTGATGTTGGTTTTATTACCTAACGGAATACTCCAATTCACAAACTCTTCTGGTATATCCTTTTCAGTGTTATCGCTACCTTCAGATTCAGTTTCATTGTCAGACTCAATTCAGCGGCGACGAACCGTGGAAGCTCTTATCATATCCGATGAACTACTCCCTGAACTTTTCTTGCTGTCTGATAGCAGTCGCAATATTTTTAAAGATCTTTGTAAAACTGCACTGTCAGATGATGTACTTGATGAATAAAGCTTCATTCAAAGCCTTATTTTTACGGGCTAATAAAAAATTGAATGAAAGATATAAAATGCAAAAACTTAGGTAGAGTGAAAAAATATAACAATGCACTTACTTGCTTGTAGAACACACCGAATAGGACTAAAGAATGAGAATAATCACTTAGCAATCGAAGAATGATTGTTTGAAAAAAGGACAATCGTAACAATTGCCTGGTGACCACCACCACCACGAAAACTGCTTCAAGCATGATTTTATAACTCATTTTACCTGCTGCAAATACTATTTCAGCATAATATGCATCACATAATGAAAAGTTCACGTCAACGCCTTGGGCAAACCATCGAAAATGCGTCTGGCAGTCAACGTGTTAATTAGTCTTGTCAATACTGGATCCTATTACTTTGAATTCTTCAGCCCAAAATCTCCCACCTTTTTTTGTTTTGTTTCTGCATATGACAAACAATAATTTTCCCAGTATAAAATTAACTTAGTTTATTCAGACGAGAAGTCAGGCCACTCGCTGAATTTTAAATAATCATCGAGCGATAGATATATTTGTTCTAAAATAAAATTTGAAAAGATTTTGATTATACAGATTTCTGATTATAGAGTTCACAATTTGCAAATGAAGAATTCTGGCTATATCTGAACCAAAGTTCAGACAGCAAGTTCAATTTCCTTACAATTTCCATATTGTGCATTAAAAGGCCTGTAACCTTGACAAAATTTGGTACTTCCGTCATTTAGACAGATGCAAACTCGGGTTCATGCTATGCTTCTAGCAAAAGATATAAAATCTCAACGAATGTGAAGAAATTTAATTTGGCAGTTTAACTGTTCATTTATCATTAATACTTGCAGCTGTACTTGTTATTATCATTTCTGCCAATCTTTCAGACTCTTTGATAACAACTAATTGAGAAACTATATACATACAAAAATTGATAATCAATTTTTAAAAACGTTTGTTCTTTTCTTTTTTAGTAAATAAAACATGATTAATGAATGCCTTTACTAAAAAAAAATTAATTTATGCTTTTTGTAACTTTTCCCCCTCTGAAAATTGCAAAATTAATTCTAAACATTTATTTTCTTTTGACCTTTTCTCTTCAAACATGTGCAGCACTGAATTGTATAGTTTATTGTACAAGAAATTATAAAAGCTAAGTTCAGTATCAGATCAGCTTCTACAATATGCTCTGACAACGTTTCAATGCCTTACATTTTATCTTTAGAATTAAAGCATGTGCATTTATTCTCATCTGAAACTTTAAATTTTTCAATGTGAAGCATGCATAATTTTTCAGCCAACTCTTTTAATTCAACAGCAATATTAAGAAGTGAAAAAAAAATTACATTTCTGCAGTCTAAAAATACAAAACTAATACAGCATCTGTTTGCAATAAAGTGAATGTTCAAGAGATATGGCACTCCAAGATATGATCAGTTTATTTGTATCAAACAGTGGTTGTGAATCTTTTTGGAGCTATGCGCCCCAAACCACCTTTTTTTTTCGGGGGGGGGGGACAAACATAAAATCTCTCTGATTAAACACCCATTGGAAAGTGTTTACCATGTTTTCCCAGGCACAGTGAAATTTGAAAGCTGGCCATTGTTAGATCGTTTGTTTTAGAAAGATAATTGCAAAAACCAACTTTCTGGTAATTATAATTCCTCGGTTTCCCTTCAATAAACACCTTCCGTTCAGCTTCATCAAGTTCGGCAACAATCCTGTAGTTTGTGTTAAAGCGCTATCTGACACTAGATGTGCGATACACAACACTTTCCCTGCACAGAATGTATAATGCTTTCCTATTGTGTTCAGTAACTTAAAATGATTCTGTCCAGGTATCTTGAAATGATCTTCCACTATCAATGTTGACTTTCGCCTTTTTTGCTGACGTCATTTATGACGATTAAACACATGCAGTATAGAAAAGCATAAAATTAAAAAATGAAGCATTAAATACGAATCGATCATATGCTAAAAAGAGGTAACATTAATAGCAAGGAAACAGATTTTCACAAATCCACAATCTATGGATGCAGATTCAAATATGAACAGGGGACAGCAGTAACCGTTAACCCGGACACCTCTTTGCAAAACTTCTAACTTTAGATTACACATGCTCCTTTTCAGCTTTACTGGGCTTATTTTGGCTCAGCGCATGTGAATAAGCTTGGTTTCCCTACTGAGCTTTCATGTTTTGCTATATTATCAAATTGCATGCTTTTACATTATATTTTTACATTCTGTTTAAGATATTAAATTAGAATTATAAGTTACCTCAAAATGCTTAGATCAGGAAACTGGAATCTATTTAACAATAAAAGTATTAAAACTCACTGGCAATCTGCAATAAATTTGAATTTGTTTAACAAACATTAGCTGCTTCAACTCTGGCATATTCTTTGTTTGCCATGTGACAAGTAATATGATTGGCTAGACAATTGAAAGAACAGGCTAAAACACTTATTTAAATTACATAGTATCATTTTATTGTGTTTATCGATTAAGAAGTAATATTTTAGTCGTGTGGTGGCTGATGAGGCTTTGCGTGGCGACTGCAGCAAGTGTGCTATAGGTTTGCCATTGCTGCTATAAAATCTGCTTCTAGTGTGGGTGGAAGAAAATTTTCACTTTTGCTTTCCCTAATCACAATTGCATTACAAACAGATATCTTTTCTTAATATACTGAATTTTAAAAATTCAGCAATGTTTTAAGAAAATGACAGATTACAATTTTTAATTACTGTTAGGGAAGGTATTAAAATTTAACAATTAATAAATATATTTTAGAATTATTAAAAGTTTTCTAGATTACTGTTAAAATAAATTAATTTTATGAAAATAAGGTAAATGTGAAAAATGAATAAAATAATTTTGAAACTAGTAAAGAAATTGGTATAACAATTGTGTTTTTGAGTATTAATATATCAAATATTAATGCTTTGACACTGAGTCGTGTTATAAAAATAAAAATATTAATGATTTAAGAAATTGAATAATTAAAATAAAATGGATTTCGAGTAATGCGACTGAAAAGTGAAATTAATACATAAAAGTATTTGGAAATGATGATAAATGAATGTTAATTACAGAGTATGTGGAGGGAGTACTGGTTCAGAAAGAAAGGCCTCTCATTTTATGATTGAATAATTTTTTTTTAATACAGAATTTATTTCATCATGAAATATATTAGTGCATTTCTTAAAGCCCAGTTATCATATGCAAAGAACAGAAGCCTTTACAATTAACTGCCAACCATCCATTTCACCACTGGTGAATCAATTAGTTAATGTCAATGTGCCCTATTACATGGAGAAATATTTATTTTGAAAAACTGCTTCTTCTCATTGTGTAAAATTCAGGAAATAGGAAAAACACTGGTGAATTAATGCATCAGTTAGTTAATGTTGGTATGCCCTATTAGATGGAAATGTTTATTTTGAAAAATGTCTAGTTTTGTGTAAAATTCAGAAAACTGGAAATTAATTATAAAAATGATGAAACTATACCATCAGTAATACTATAAAAATTAATGTGTTATAAAACTGAGACTTATGATTAATCAAAATAAATAATGGGCGCATAAAACTTTTGTTATTTTTAGTGAAAAGTTTTGAAAAACCTTTCCTGAAGAACTGTGGAATTTCCAAAAATAAGAACTTTTTTAAATTGGACTGAATACTGAAAATTTCAATATAATTCTAAAAAATATAGTGTTCAAGATTTATGCTCCATATTATTTGAAAATTTAGTATACAATTTCATGACTTATATATCTCTTATGTTGCTGCTGTAATGCCTTTCTCCCTAAAAGGCTTTGTTGCCCAAGCCCTTTCTCTTTGAAGGGAGAGAATATATAAGATAAATATGTAAATCAAAATTCTAACTTAAATTTGCAACACCTGCTTAAACCTATATTTTAAATTGGCTATTTTCCCATTTCTGTTCTAAACACAGTAATTGCTTATAATAAACTTCTCTACACCTCTTTTCCAAATTAATCCATGTCATACGATTTTTACATAATGCTGGCGAGGTAAATGGTTTAGCGAATTAAAATTCAACCAATAATATTTTACTGCTTTACTGATTATCCAATCCAACTGATTTCGAAATCAAAACTAACCTATACCAAATTATAGTTCTGTCCTCAAACATCACACTTCACTTTTGCTCCTCAGTTTAGCTAGACTGCTACTTGCTGCTTCTTACCATACACGTATAAACAAAAATGTAGACTCCATGTTGTGGAAGAGGCATGATTAGTGAGCCAAGTTATTTTTGGCCACAATGGACAAATTAAAAATGAACATTTAAATTTGAAAGGATAGTGTATTATTGCATCTACATAGCTTCACGTATTTCTAAGTATGGAACAACATCTACACAATCAATTTATTATACAAAAGTAATAAAACTTTGTATGTGGATGACAGGGTATCACGTAGCTGGTGCATAAAGACATACTTACAATACATTTCTCGTCTTTACAATATATGCGACAGAAAATAGCTAAGGAATGGATTACATCTTAGCAGGACAGCAAGAAAGAGATTGCACTGATTACAATATGAAGGTTAAGAAGAATATAGATTTATGTTACAAGTACAGGTAGCAGTGAGCAGGATACCAGAATTTCACCAGTGGTACAAGTATAGTTTTGCAGCACTACAATTTCACCAACAATTTTGGCACTGGGGGAAGGGGTTTTTCAGCCCTCTTTCCCTACCACGAACCTCTTGAGAGGAATTTTGGCTTCCAGTGTATTTTGAGCGCTGCCTTGCTGCACAGACACTATACACTTACTAACATCAATGCCTTCTTCAGGATTTTTAACCTGGGCCTACTAGCAGTTAGAATCACTAACTACTATACTATCTGGGCAACAGATTTATGTCATCAATGTTATAACAGTTATTGATCTGACTGGGTATTAAGATTTTGGTTTGAAAATATCCTTATTAGTATTACTTAAAATATTTTTTGTATTAAATACATGCCTTATGCAGGTATAATACAGCAAGGATTAATTATAAAAAAATGCAATAAAGATATTTATAAGTACATTATCATTTTTTGGATAGAAAGGTGAAAAACCAAATTTAATTTCTTACCTATAGATTCTTTACATTTATATTTGCTAGTAATATTAACATAAAAATTAAAGAAAACACAGCATAGCAAAATTTTTATAGCAACTAATAAAAATACAAACTCAAAATAAAAAAAAACGATAGTAGTTCTTTGGATAAAAAAAAGAAAAACAAAAAGCAGTAAATCATATTGCTATGACGAAATAATATTCAAAAAGGAAGAAAAACAGGATGCTCAAATAAATAAAGCAGTTGCAACAAATGCTGACTGACACAGGAATAAACAAATAGCGCAAGTGGTTGCGAGACATGCAATCACGTAATTTCAAGAAAAATGAATTACTTCAGCAATTAATTATTCTGCTAATAATGATTATGGAATTGTTAAATGTGGAATGAAACGGCTAAATCTTAAAATCAATAAGGAAAAATATTTTGGGAGAAAGAATGGTTAACATAAATGATGGCAAAACAACAGAATAAGCATTGTCAACTTTCAAAAATTGACCAAAATTATAAATACATGTACTTTTTGTGTGTAACATTTCTTCAGAGTCTCATTAAGCTAACATGAACAATGAGGAGTAATATGAAAGTAGCTAACACATTGACTGTTAATTTTTAAAATGCAGAAGATGTAAGAGTTATAATGCTGGGAAAGAGTTTAGCAATTATTTTAACATGCTAAAATAAAGATTACCTTACTGGAGAGTCGAGAGTCCAGCTCTTTCAGCTGTTCATCTAGGCTCTTCTTAGATGCTGTAACAGATTCTGTTACAGGAGAAGATTGTGATGGCACAGCAGTGCTTGAGGATTCACTTGAAATACTAAGTAAACTTCCTGAAGCACCTATTAAAATAAGCACATATGTAAAAATAAGAAAAAGACCAAACAAGATAGAACAGTTTATAACAAGGGTATGCTTCTATATACAGAAATTAGATTAAAAGGTAAGAAAATGCTCAAAATCTATATTGTCGAAAGACTGCTGTAAGCAAAGATGCTTTTGAAAAACAATCCAATATGCTTAAAGTTTTGAACTTGCATAAGTAATTTTCATGTATACTGCACGACAATTTCACAGATCTGAAACTGCAGACTTCAATTATGCTGAAAAAATGTCTATGAAAGCTTCCAGTGATAATTTATTTCCAATTGGTGGTCTAAACATAACAACATACATCTCTAGATAGATAAATTTATATATAGATATAGATATATGCGAAGATATATGTATACATACTTTCAATAGTCTGCAACAACTGAAATTTTTTATCAAATGGTAAAAACTCAATAAATAATCTGACACATTTAATAACTATCAAGTACTTATGATATATTTCCCCCCCGTATCAAAAGCACAAAATGCATCCGCTGAGTAGCTTCTTGTAACTGCCCATAGAGTAACTTCAGTACTACAATGAAATGTAGCTATTATAAAATTCTTAAAATATATAGACCCTTTTTTATGTAGCCTTGCTTTTAATAAGTTATATTTCTGGCGAGGCATTCCAGAAAAAGTACAATGCACTACATTTAAAAGATAAGATAATCTAATCTTTCATCTGTAATAAAGGAACATTGCTGTCCATAGTTTTAACCTGTTCAGTATGGGCGTGTCATATATGCATCAGCAGCAAACATTATCTCACGGATTTGAATCCCCATTTAATTCACTGTATGGCCGGGCATACCACATTTGACATTTTAGATAGAACATTTAAATAGTATTTTTTATTGCCGCTAGATGTAGCTGTATGTCTGTTATGGCGAAATATATGGAAAGTTAAGTATGTTCACCTTCATTCTTATCCAATGTTTTTTATTTTTGTTATTTTGTTTCGGAATGAGAGTGAAATTCGTAGGTGGGTGTTGAGCAATGTACTGTCCCTAACTGGGTGTGTCATTTGATATAAACAAATGCAGTGGGATAGACGTTTTATCATTAGAGATTTTTTTTTATCACTTTTTGATTTTTCAGATGAATATTTTGTATTCTCAGCCTCAGCAAAACTTTTTTTAATGGCAAACGAAAGCAGTATCTGAACCTAGAATATACACAAATGCTAATTGGTTAGTGTTGAGTAATGTAATGACTCTTACTGCCTCATTTTATATAAACAAATAAGCATGTTCTCAATGCTCCGGATTAGCTTTTAATTTATTAATTTTTCTTATTTTTATTTTTTATGGGGTTATAGAGGAGTAGCGGAACACAAATGCTAAATGAGTCAAATTTGCTGAGTAAAATAGCAGCAGATATTCTATTCCTGTGACATATGCAGAGTTGGACTTTGCTTTGCGTACATCCATGTTTCAAAGAATATCATACACTGTCTCTTTTTTGAAATATTGCTTCCTTTTTGTTGTTTGCACGTTGAATTTTTATGGAAGACAGTTTTAATATTTTTTAATTAAGAATATCATACACTGTCTCTTTTTTGAAATATTGCTTCCTTTTTGTTGTTTGCACGTTGAATTTTTATGGAAGACAGTTTTAATATTTTTTAATTTTAACTATGTGTTGTGCTAAATAAAATCTGCTATTGTTTGGATATTTTTCCATATATATTTATTTGTGGGATAAGGGGAAAATTATATTATTCTAGAATGAGTATTTTATAAAATTCTTAAGGAAAATATAATAATAAAACTTTAAAATTAATTCTGACAACCCCTTGAATGTTCTTCTCATAATGTACCAAAAATTGGAACAATTGGATGAAAAATTTATAAGAATTTTGTTCCCAAAGTTAGGCCTAGCAGCGCGAATTGCCCGCCCCACAAGACGATGAATCCTGTTAACGCGCCATCCCAAGACAGCGCCTTGGGTAACAGAGATGCCCGTCATGAACGGATTAAAAACTCTGTAGCTTATACTTCTATAACTAATTGCTTTTTGATGCTTTAGTGTTGTTATATAAACATTAAATCTCTCCCCCCCCCAGAATTTACATTAAGGTGAAATTCATATGTACGTGAATGTAACTACATAACAACTTAAATCGATATTCAGATACATCAAATAACAAAATGATCAACCAATAAATTTATTTCAAAACAAGAATTAAAAAAATACACATAAACTATTTTTTATTCTCATTAACGATCTATTCAAAGTCATTTTGCACACTCATATGAATTAAATGGCTATTAATTTCTTCAGCTTAAGGTCTGGTCTCATGGATACCAGCTAATCAAGAATCTGCAGCATTTAACATTCTGATTGAATAACAACATCAAATACACGATTTTGAATAAAAGCTAAAAATAAAAATATTTGTAGTGTTGCAATAGATATGTGTGCTTCATAGCTGAATATATGTTACTCTCTCTCCCTCTCTCTATATATGCATGCACATCAACATATTACTAAAATTCCAGAATTTCTAAAACTTTATATATTCATTTAAATCTTTCAGTTTTAGTCAATGATATTCACTTTGCATCATAACTATTAGTCTGTTAATACACCTTGCTCCATGAATTTATTCTATCTTATTAGAGAAGATGTTAAATGGTGTGAATTAACAAAATTTAAATTACTGCAAGGCTACATTTTCCTGTAATATATTTATCCTATTTATACGTAGGGGAGTCAACTGAAAACCATAAAAGTAGAAATAAAAATCCGCATATGGCACCAGTGAGCTGCAAGTTGGCATGCCTGTTTGCGATAGTATGCTGGATGTCTCCTAGGTGGCAGCAGCCGACAGATGCACAAAAAACGGCGCAACAACAGTTCCAAAATGGCAGTCCCACTAGCCACATGCACCAGCGAGGAGCAGCATTCTGTGGTTCGGTTTTTGCGAAGTGAAGGTGTGAAACCGATTGACATTTTTAGGAGAATGAAGGTTCAGCATGGAGATGCGTGTTTGTCACAGCCACAAATCTATGAATGGTGCTGGAAATTTGCAAATGGTGTTACGTCCGTGGCCGATGCTCCACGCCCCGGCCAGGCTCGGCGCATAGTGACTCCAGAGACCATTTCAGCCATTGAAGCCATCGTTTTCGAAAACCGCTGTGTGACAATAGACGAAATTGCAGCATGTCTACACATGAGTCATGGATCGGCACATCATATTGTGCATGATGTTCTCCAGTTTCATAAGGTGTCTGCAAGATGAGTGCCCCGACAACTGACGCCTGAACTGAAACAGCGATGTGTTGATGCATGTGAAGACCTTTTGTGGCGTGCTGAACGTGACGGTAATGCCTTCCTGTCACGAATCGTCACTGGTGACGAAACATGGGTGCATTACCATCAGCCTGAAACAAAGCAAGCGAGCAAAGAGTGGCGCCAATCCTCATCACCGAAACAGAAAAAGTTTCGGACACAGTTGTCTGCAGGGAAGGTTATGCTGACCCTCTTTTGGGACGAAAAGGGCATCATCTAGGAACACTACACGCCACGAGGAACCTCTGTGACGGACCTCCTAAAAAATCATCTCCGGCCTGCCATCAAAACGAAACGATGTGGATTGCTGTCAGCCGTTGTGCTATTGCAACACGACAATGTACAGTGCGACCATCACAGACCTGAAATTTGAATGCCTCCCACATCCCCCTTACAGGCCAGACCTCGCACCGAGCGATAAGAAGCAATGGGCGGCAGAAGTTCCACTCCGACGAAGAGGTACGCAATGCGGTGCACGAGTGGTTGCGCCGTTGCCCAAAAGACTTTTTTCTGCAGGTATTTAGGCTCTTCCGAAGCGCTGGCGGACTTCCATTGAACGAGGAGGGGACTATGTTGAAAAGTGATTTACTTCTGTACCCTGTGTGACCAATAAATAATATTAAAAAAAAATAATTATGGTTTTCATTTGACTCCCCCTCATATGTTACATCTATGTCAAAATTCATGACAACAAAATATTGATTAAAGTATGAAACTAGTTTGTACTTGTTTTCTTCTAAAAATAGTAATATTAAAATCAGAGCCTATTTAACCCTCCATGTGGCCAATAGTTTGCCCCCCCCACCTGAAGCATAGAGGTAGAAAGTAAGATGGAGTGGCCCTAAACAGGTTTCTCCCGTACCCTGCTCTGAAGCACTGGCGATCCCTACGTGGCGACCAAAACATTGGGTCATTTACCATCGAGTTCAATGGGATTTGACGCGTTCGGATGTAAATATTTTGTAATTACGTTGTAAATATACATATGCATGCATATATTTTCTTTTTCTACAACACTTCAGAGTTTTAAGTATATGAAAATAACGTATTTTTAAACAACATTTTATTCTGAATGGAATTAAATGCTATACTTTTCACAGAACAGTTTTCTCAGAATGATTTAATTTGAATGAAATATTTTTATAAGTTTTCGTTACTTACATTAAAAAAAAAATTAAGGTAATTCGATTTTATTCGGTTAAGGTACAAAAATTAAGATCAAAGTTTATTGTATTATTATTAAAATTATTCATTATTTCTTTTCTATTTATAGAGCTTCTTGCTAAAATACTTTCTTGAAAATGACATGATTCTTTGGCTTCTGAGGCATCTTTTAAATCGAAAAATATAAGTCAATTTATAATGCTCTATTCGGTTCATTTTAAATTAGAGAATTATTAGAAATTAGCAAAATACTTTAAATAGTACTTAACTTTCTCTGAACATTTCTGAAAGGGAATAAAATAAGTTTTTTTTTAAGTATTATTTAAAACTTGTAACTGAGTTATTATAAAATGTAAGGGGAATAATTCTTTTAATTATACTTATCAGATTTTTTTTACCCTTAATTTCAAAAATACATATTCCAAAACTCTTTATTACTTTCTTAAGTGCGCATCTCATAGCATTTGCTTTACAATATCTTTTAACAGGTTGCTTTCCAGTACGAACAATTCTTGCTTAAATAGTTTTATAGCATACTTGTCAACAGGATTTCAATTTATTTTTACAATTCAATATTAAGCTTATTATATATTTAGATAACATTTATAATCATTATAAATTAGATACATTTAATAATTAGATTTCTTCACAGTAACTTTCACAGTTATTTATAAATGAATAAATTCATTACAAATACATTTATAAATAATTTAATGAATATTTATGTATTTTGTTAAAGGCAAATAAATGCTTTTTGTAAGCACATGCATAAATACCCATACATATTTCCTATTTTTCATTTCTGGCATGTGCAAATCTTTAATTTCGGTGCATTCATTTTTCAAATAAAGTAATTTACATTAATTTAGCATATACCCGAAAGTTTTACATAAAAAATATATATGAATATAATTTGAATGATGGATTGCAGCATTTGATGGCAATTTTATTTTAAATTAACCCAAATAAGTAAAACGTGCAAGAGCAGCAGTAAAGCCTCTCTAAAAATTTTTTAAATAGATGTGAAAAAAATTTATTGCATTTAAAACATTTTGTCGTTTGAAACATAAAATAAAAGTAGCGAATACTCTATCAAGGGTATCGAAAGACGTATACAATTTTAAAGGTAAAGGTATTTTTCATTCTTTAAGCATAACATTTTTGTTAAAATCTATATTTTTGTAGTTCACAGCCTAGAATTTTATAAAACAAATTCATAATCAAAATCGCTGTTGTTAGTTATCGAAAAATAACCAACATGTGATTTTTGCGTAAATGTCACTAAACTATACAAATTGCTATTATCCATCACACTATGGGTGTTTCTTTCATGCAAAAGTGTCAATTTTTCGATTTGTATGGAATTGTCGCGAGTCGAAATACTATCAGAACACTGTCAAACAAGCTTCTGAATGTACGCAAAGAACACCCCATCTGGTGACCGAAGCTTCGAAGCAGTGCTTCACTTCTAGTGCCGGTTGGCCACTCCTTCTTTTCTTACCTCCATGACCTGAAGTCACCAAACCAGGAGTTAGTAATATTTAAATGAATATAGTTCTAAAATGAATCTCAATTTGCTTTCATTCCAAAAAACTGAAACAAATGCTATTATTAAAAAATAAAATTTAGAGCTTGAAAAAATTTAAAAATTCTTTCAACAAAACCAAAATTTGGCATCTACAAAAAGGCAGATTGGAAGATAAATTCAAAATCAAATGTTGCTGCCATTAACCGAAAATGAATATTTTAAAACATTTTTTGTTTTGTTTTTCAGATTAACTTGTACATAGCTGTAATACACTTATTTACTGAAAAAGATTATAAGACAAACAGCATCATTAAGGAAAATAAAAACTCACCACTTTCTGTTTTACTTGTAGTTTTCCTATGTAATGAATTTGTCGGAGATGGGGAAACTCTTCCTAAGGAAGAGACACCAGTTGTCGTCGTCGTATGATTTGTACTGGTAGTCAAACCCACTGTACTAGCAGCCCTAGTATGCCTCGGAGGGCGTCCTAGTACCGCATGTTGTAATACAGCATCTTTTTCCTGGGAATGTTGTTGCAAAACTTTGATCATGGCATCCTTTTCTGCTAATTTAGATTCATAATCTTTTATCCTGCAAACAAATATATTTCTTAGACCTTTTTTCTTGCCCAGTTTTTTTTAAATTATGTATTAAATTCATCTTATAAAACAACAAAAAGTCATTAAAGTAACAAAAAAGTTAACAATCTGCCGATTTTTAGTCAAGCTTTCAAGAAGCCACATAATGATCACACATGTGAAGCCAGATCTAAGCTTTTATTTAATTACCATTCACATTACCAGGTTCTGTATTATTTGTTTCTGAAATTCTGAACCCTCTCTGAAAAGTAAGGATATTTTGAAAGTATTTGAATGCAGTTCTTTCACCTAAATGCAAAACTAAAAAAAAAATTAAGAGATGCTTTAGTTTTATTTATTAGAAATATGTAAAAATCAAATATGAAATACCTTCATCTTGCTTCATGTTCAATTTTCTATTTTATTAATCTAAAGTACATTACTATATTTTCATACACTACATAAACCTGACTTTCTTTTTATTACACTAGATGAATAAAATTTAACTATGGAAATTTTTTTAACTGAAAGATCTCTGAAACATAAATAAGATATTACTTGCAGGGAGAAAAGGGGAACTGAAAGTTCTTTTTTCTTTAAATTAACTGCTTTTAAAAGACACCAGCTGCATTAATGGCCAGCTGCCTAAAACAGTTAACCTTAAATGGGGAAAAAATATATAATAACGATTTCAAACAAATCCAATTAGTGTAAATTAAAAAAAAAAAAAAAAGAATGTCTTTAATTAGACATCTCATAATTTGAATGCATTTTAATTTAAATTAATCATGATGAAGAGTAGAAATAATATTCTTAAGAACTGCATATATTGCTTTTGAATAACTTGGTTTGTTTAATAACAAATTAAATTTGTGCATTAAATATCTTATGCTTTATTGAATAAAAACATTAACATGGAACTAATTAAAACATGGAAGATAAAAGTATTTTATTTCAGGCAGTGGAAACACAATGATTTTAATAGCTAAGTTTATTGATTAAAATTGAGAGACAAGTCATGTAAGAGTAAGTAAGACAAGAGCAAGTCTCACGACAGACATAATAAACACCTGTTGTAAATTTAGAATCTCTCGTATGTTCCCATGCCATACTGAATTCCCCCTCTTCAAATGAGAAGTATCCTAAAGATGGACTCTTAGAACAATATGACGGATACAATGGCAAGGGGCGAGCATATTCAATGCTTCCTGTAAGAAAGCTGAGTAAACATATGCATATTTTTCAAAGTTAATAGTATGATCCTAAGTAATCATCCTATACATGCTTTATGATGGCTTCAGAAGTCTCCAGTTTGCTTAATGTTCTGTTAAAAAAATAATTTTGGGTTTCTGAAATTCTGTGGTTATTTGAAATGCCACACAGCTGGGTTTTTACTGAACTTCCTTTTCTTTCATAAACTTTACAATAACCACAATTAACTACTTCAAATCAAATAAATCACAGAAGCTCATTCTCACAACACTATTTCAGCTGGTATTTTGGTGTAATTAATTACAACCACCGATTAATGAATAATGACAGTAAACAAGCAGTTTTTATGCTACATTTAAATTTTGACCTCATAAGTTCATTGATATATTACGGTAGACATAGCTGTAATCCTCGTCTTCTCTAAACAATTCAGTATAAGATTCATAAAGGTCTTAACTGCAAGAATTCCTCCACTTTTTTGGGTGAGCAGTAAGTCTCCAATTAAAATTTATTATTATTTTCAGCCCATTCTTTTGCTCAAACTTCCAAACATATTAAGGACTGTTTATTTTCAAATATTAATGTGTATAGCCTAAAAAATGGCCTCTTTCAAATAATCCGATATATACTGCATAAACTCATGAAAAACTATTAAAAATTTCTTAAGAGTTACAGGATCAACTAAAATGTAAAATTGATTTTCAGCACATTTCATAGAAAACAGCATAAAACCTCATTCTTAAAATCTAGCTTAAAATGTCTCCAGCTCCAAAATAATGTATCACGAAAATTTATTACTAAAATTTCTTACTCTTTTTTTAAAGGTATTGGCACATCATACTTATATGCAATACACAAACAGAAATATCAAGTAATCAACTTCTGAAATTTGAGTTAAATTACATATCTGTATACATATTTCATTTAAAGAATTTACTTGTCCACATTCTTCGTACTTGGAAAAATTCAGTATCTACTTTTAAATTATTTCAATTACTATGACATATACATCATGTGAAATGCAAAAAACATATTAACTGCTAAATGTTCACCAAATTAACTTTTACAACCTTCAAAACCTGCCTTTTGAAAGCCATTTTGCATTTTAACAGAATTTTACATTTAATGGTACACTGTTTTTATTCTTAATGTATAAATGCATTTTGTTTCCTTTAAGAAAACAGACAATAAGGAAATTAGAAATACTGCTTAAAAAAAGGGGGGAGATTTAAAACTTACTTGCTCTCTAATTCTGTGCATCTTCTGTTGGCTGCATACAGCTCATCCATTTGCTTAAGTTTTTCAGTACGAGCCTGGGCTATTAATTTCTCACTTTCCTGTGAAGTTCTTTCTAAAGCGGCGATTTTAGCATCCCTGAAAGGAAAAACACACATAGTTCACACAGCACCAAATCATATGCAAACTGAAATGCAAATTTTATTTATAAATAAAAGGTTTATGATGATTAAAAAAAAGTGCTTTATAAACGTTTTCTTAATGTTCCACATACTTAAATTTAAAACAAAAAAATTTTCACTCATTCATTACTTTTACCTGCTTATAGAAAGGCACATTTATAACACATTTCGGAATAACCACAGACAGGACCACAGACACTGAAATTTCTATATGCACCATCCTCTCTCTCTTTCTCTCTCTATATATATGAAGGAAATTATTTAGAAATTAAATTTAACTGGAACAAACTACAAACTTAATTGGCAATAGCCCTTTAAATTCCTGATTCCGATATAAAAGCAACCCCTTTGCACCTGTGTCACTTATTTGCATTGCAAAAACCCTAGCCCAATCATTATCCAGAACTCAGAGAATATCCAAGCTATAAATACTTTAGCTTCTTTGTGCACCTCCTCTTTTGCTGCCTAAACTTGCTCACTAAATGATGTCTCTTCACTTAACTGCATTCTTGCATTGTTCTAAAAAAATGTACCTACATCTATAAAATTGTGGGTGATTCAGCAACTCTAGTGTTGCATCAATTAAGGATATAACCTAAGAAATTATACGTTTTGACTTGGCACATTGATCTGCAACTCCAGCTTGCCATCTATGCAACATCTTCAAGCTATCTTCTTCCATGATGCATCTTATTCATGTATGAGCTACATCTCTCTACAACATTTCCGCCATGACTAAAGAATGAATTGGTTTCATCTTCCACAAAAACTACATCATTACATACACACAAGGACAGAAGATAATTTTTTTTAGTAATGTTTTATGTCAGCATTTTCAATCAGGGTTCTATAAGAATTAGCGAAATAATTTGTGCATCATAAAAGGGAAAAAATTTCCCCCTCATTTGGGTGTTGTACTCGGGTAACTTCAGTGGGGAAAAGTTTTGTGACTGTGATAAGAACTGAATAATTAGACAATGATAATTGAAAAGCTGAATTTGGCTTCTCGGCTATGCTTGATTAGATTCACTCAGATGCTATCAACAATTATTTGTATTTATTTAATACTTGCATTACCAATTAAATTGTTTAAAAAGAATTTGAAATAATGGATGGAGATCAACTTATTCTTCAGCAATTTTCATTAAACCACATCGCTAGGCTATACATGCACTACAAGTCTAACTAAGCATGAACTAAGCTGAACAGTTCAAAACAGCTTTTCTGTTGTGACTGATTAAAATCTACGGTGACTGTGTATGCATTAGGGATGCAAGAACTGTAGGATGAGGTGCTTGGTTAGAGTGCTAGCACATTTTTCTTATTTATTATTTAGTTTATTTTGCCATTATTTTACCTACTATTTTATTAAGTCCTGTTTCTTGTTTTATATTTCTTTTAGAGATATTAATATTTAAAAATGGGAAAATACTCCAAAACAAATCCAAATAATTCTGAAGAGATTAGAGATGAAGATTTAGAATCTCATACAAAATTTTAAAAGACATAAAGAAAGAGGTAAAGAAAAAAGGCTCATCCTCAAAATGAAAATTGCTTATCAATGGGCTTTACACGGAACTGCTGATCCAGAATGTCCTATTCCATTGTGTCTCAACTGTGACAAAAAAACTTTTGAATACAGCAATGGCTCCAACAAAACTGAACAAACATCTCACTACAAATCATACTAGTATGAAAAATAAATCTTTTGATTACTTTAAAACTGTTAAAAATCTCAAAACACACAGAGTACAGCTTTTGTAAATACATTCACAGTTAAAGGAAGCAAGTTATTTAGTAGCAGAGCTTATTGCACAGATCAGGAATGCATTATTTTCTAGTTAATATAAAAAGCACAAGACAGGGATGAGATTTCAAATAAAAAAGGAATTAACTAATACAGAATACTATCCCTTCTGAATATGTTCCCCTCTTTTCTAGATAACACCTTATAAGAAACTTACATTTTAATGTTTAAATGAATTAATAAAGTTAAATGATAACAAAGAAGGAAATAACATGTAAAGAAGAAATCCACAGAAGAGCAAGGATATTAAGCAATGTACAACAGCTCATTGTTCCTTTTTTGACGAGTCCATTTCCCATTTTCCATATGCAAAAAATGCTTAAAACAGTCACGTAAGTAGACCTAACGCCTGCAAGTAAAAATGGTAGTGGGTAGTTGGGAGAAGATGTAGTAAGGAAAATTGAAAATATTCCACTTCCGAACAATACAGTAATTCTACAAATCAGTGGCATGTCAGATGATGTTGAAGAGGTTTTGTGTCATAAACTGACAAAAGGGAATTTTTCAATTCAAGTGGACAAGCTAACAGATTTAATGAACAAATGTTATATTCTAGCATTTGTAAGATTTATTAATGAGGAAGAAATTCTCAAGAAAACTTCCTCTGTATTAAAGGATTACTTGAACAAGCAGAGGAACAGATTTAATATTTTATGTGCATATCTGGAGATAACTTTTTTCCTCCCCAGGAAGAATTGTACTGGTGCTTGTACATGACGTTAAAATCGTTTGGTAATGAGCTACAAAAGGTATTTGGTACGTTATAAAAATGGTTTACTTAATTGAAGGACAGCCATTTCATTCCACAATTTAAAAAAGCTCTTACGAAAACGTGGATAAAAAGCACATAAATCTGTTGTTATACACTAAAATCTAGTGATTAAGTAGAGGCAGAGTTTTTAATAAGACTTTTGAGCTAAATGAAGAAAACAAATACACATTTTTAACAAACGACAAACAAGAATTTGCCAAAAGCCTTGAGAATCAAACATGGGTACAAATGCTAGATCATTTAGCAGATATTTTTCATCATTTGACTCAGTGGAAACTACTGAAAGACAGCAGAGAAAATATACTAACTTCAAGTGACTAGATTGTTGATTTAAAAAAAAAAAAAAAAAACCTTATGGAAAGTTCCTGTTGTAAAAAGGAATCTCAACATTTTTGAATTACTGGCAGAGCTAAAAGGTGAAGATGGCTACGAACAAATTTCAAGTTTTAATGTATCCCACCTAGAGGAACTGTGGAAGAAAACTGGTTATTATTTTCCATCCCTATGAACAAAACCAACAATACGATGTGAGGAATCCATTCTCTCACACTTTCATTTAGCCTCAAAACCTAACTATAAAAGAACACTGAGATTTACAATCGGATGGTTCACAGAAAATGAGATGGTTTTGGACAAAATCAGGATTTCCACTGGAAGTGAGAATCCAACAATTCATAGGAAAGCAATTAATATTTTGCTACATTTTTCACCATGTATATATATATATATATATGAACAAGGTTTTTTTCATTTAGCAAGCATTAACAGTAAGAATAGAAATTGTCTCCTTTCCATGGAAGATGAAATCAACATATGTGTATTGAAAATCAGACCCTGAATTCAACATTCATGTTCCAAGAATAGGCACAGATTCCACATCAATATTTGTTACAAAACACTATACTAAAGAAATGTATTACAGTGGAACATCGAGCACTTCTATATACGAAAAATTCGAGATACAAGGAAAGTACGAGAAAAAAATTTGTCTCTAAATACGAGCATTGACTCAAATAACAAGCAGTGAACCAGACTGCTGACATGCGTGGCGCCATTTCCTGATCCGGCTCGACTCGGGGGTCGGTGTTCTTTGATCTAAGTGTTTCAGTGCTTGTGAATCAACTGCTTATTACATTTAACGTGAAAATAATTATTCACAATGCCTCCCAAGAAGACTGTTGCCTTATACAGTGCTGCAATGAAAAATAAAGAAGCCATGGCTGTGGAAATTAACAAAGAAATCATACATAAACAAGCGTGGTGTAAGAGTGACGGAATTGGCGAAGACTTACGGCCTTTCCACATCAACAATTTGCACTGTTCTCAAGAAGCAGGAAGAAATTAAGAAACTTGAGGTAGCCAAAGGAGTTAGCATTACTTCCAAGCACCATCCAAAACTCCTAGATGTTGAAAAGCTGTTGTTGGTGTGGATTAACGAGAAGCGGTTAAAAGGCGATTCGGTGTCGGAAGCTATCATAAAGATAAACTACGGTTATATTATTTACCCACGATATATATTATAAAAATTGATTTTTATGTTGATATTTTTCGGAGTGTGGAATGGATTAACTGGATTTTCATTATTTTCAATGCAGAAGTTTGTTTCTAGACACGAGAAATTTGCTATGCAAGCTCAATGCTGGAATGAATTAAAACTCATATCTCAAGGTTCCACTGTATTTATATATACCTAATTATATTTAGAATTACAACAACTGCATATAACTTCATTTTGGGGGGTTTAAAATAAATGACTAAAACATATTTTTTGTCTCCATTAATTATCATTAATAAAAAATCTAATGAAAAATTATTGTTATATGGATACCGAGTTTCCTTGAACACTGTCATAAAGGTTCTGTAAGATTGAAAAGGTTGGGAAACACTGCTTTATGTAACTGTACACTATACTATATTACAATTTGTTATGTTCTCAAAAAAGGTTATAAATTTTAGAAAATAACCTTCAAACCACTTTCTGTAAAGCAACTAAAAATACTGCTATATTATATAAGAACATATCTCAGATCGAAACAATGCAGCAAACAGCAATAAATAAACTACTTCAAACAACAATGATTTCCAAGATGCAAGTTACCCCCCCCCTTCAGAAACATAATATGCAGAAATTAAAAATATAAAAAAGCTTCACCTGAAGAATTAAGCACCATTAGAAATATTAAATGCGCAAAAAAAATGGAATAAAAAGTATTGAGACTTTATGATGCACTACTTAAAATCATTAAAAAAAAAAAAAAAAAAAAAAAAAAAAAAAAAACACACGAAAAACAAAGAAAGGTACTAAAAATACTAAACATAAAGCAAGATACTTTTTTTTAATTAAATTAAAACTCAGTAGATTTAATTCAATAAAAAAAACATACTTAGGAACTGATGCTGCGTCAACAGCAATCTGTCGCATTGTACTTTCTTCAATATAACGCTGTTCCCACTAAAAATAATAAGCATGCAAAATAAGCAAAAGATAAAATGAAAAACCAAACAAAGAAAATCCTAATTTCTTTTATTATAACAAAAATTAATAAATATTTAGCAAAAAATATGAGAGCTTTATAAAACTATGCAATATAATGAAAAAACAGTGTTTTACAAATAAAATAAGAGTTCATATATGCTTTAAAAGATGTAATGGTGTAAGTATTTATGAAATACCTTTGAAACTTCAGCTTCTAAACCTATTATTTTTTCTTCATATTCCATTACAGTTTTTTGCAATCCTTCAACACTTTCTGAATGTTCACTCTTGGAAACAGAAGATGACTTCCCTTGCTATTTTTAAAAAAGCAACAATTTAATAAATAGATTGGTCAGAAAAAAAGAGCTCAGCAATTATATATGCTAAATGTTCTGTGTACCTTTTGTGACCTTAGAGCATGAACTTCTTTTTCTAGCTGAGCTCTCAACTTCTTTTCCATTTGCAATCGTTTTTCACTAGACTGCTGTAAATTTGTAAGAGCTTTTTGAAGTTGAGCCACTCTGTCGACATAAACCTGCTTTTTACGAGACTAAAATGAAAAAGAAAAATATAGTATAAGAAGGATTTTCATGTAAATGTGTTAAAGCAAAAAATTGCAAATTTAATAAATGTAGCAATCATCACCTGAAAAATGATAAAGAAATAAAAATACACTAGAAAACAAACGTGCAGTATTACACAATTTTTTTAAAGAGATTACTCTTAATTTTTTGCTAAAAGATATATTTAATAAGCTCTTCCAGTTTCACTACAATGACATTCAAGTATGCACTTTTTTACACAAATTGAAGAGAAGGATTACACTTCTTACAAAAACAGACAATGTGGAGATAGTGCTGACGAAATAACATTGCACATCCTTTGGAAAAGGGAAGCAATTTAATGTATTGACAAGAAAAGTTACTAGAAAAGTACTAAGTAAGCAAAGTAATCTAAAATGTTCAGTAGAATTCAGTCAGAAGTTCAGGCTTCTTAGTGATCATTTCAGTCAAAAGAATGCTCCTGGAATCAGGTTGTAGTAGTCAACTGAGATCTGTGTCATAATCAGCTGTCCTGCTGGCACACTCCATTTCTGTCCAGAAGGTCCAAAAAACAAAAACAAACAAAAAAAATGTAAAGTGCTTAGCTTAGACATTTAGATGCACTGATGGTGCATAGTACGAGCAGCAAAGGTCTCAAATACTGTCAAAAGAAAACACTCCAGACTACCACCATGCCAACATGATATTTTACAGTTCCATCTAAACATGCTGGATGCCAGGATGGAATTACATTCATGGGGCTAATGCCATATTCTTAGGCTGCTATCAGCATGACGCAGTTAAAAACTGAGACTTACAATCATCGATGAAATAGAAACAGTGGCAAAATGCTGAGCACTGTTTCATGCAACTAAGATTCACGGTCAACAGATGGACTGTGAAGCAAAGGACCATCTACTGACTGTCCAAAGGGACACATTATTCAGTTTGGTGATCTGCACTAATATTTGGTGCCACTTGGCTGCATACAATATGTTTGAATCTTCAAAGAACACAATCATTTACCTGACATCACTGCTTGTCCCTTGCAGTCTGCCAAAATACTCTTCCCCTCCACCGCAACTCCCCATATAACTCATATCATGAATGATCTAAGGGTAAATAGCTATTATTCATCTTCGATTGAAAACATTAATTGTGTTACATATCATGTTACTTTACAGGTGTTAAGGGCCACACTTTTAACTATATAAATCCTGTAAAAATATACAGGCTAAAAATTACATTAACTGTAATTAGATGCTTTAGAAGAGGTATCATGAATTAAAAATTCCTTTGCATTTGTTAACTTACTTCCTCTTCTAATCTCACAACATTTGCTTGGGCATTGGTCAGAGCATTATCTAATATATCAATGTGATTCCTCTGCTCCTGTAAAGTTGCTCTTTGTGCTTGAAGTTCAATTTCTTGACGTTCTTTTTCAGCCAACAGTTCTTTAGCTGTAGAGAAGCAATTAGTTAAACTACTTGGAATATGATGCAGAAGAAATATATAAAAATATAGAAAAAAGAAAGGAAACACATACTTTGTGTTAACAGTTGGGCAATGAGTACTTCTCTTTTACTCAGTTCTTTCCTTAATTCAGAATCATTTATTTCAGGAGCCTAAAATTACGTAAGTTATATCAGTTCAGTAACGAATGCAAAGAAAAGCATATTAGCTTGATGCCTGAAAAGCCAAACTAAATTCACATTAACTTTTGTTAATTAATGATATTAATTTGCACATATTTTTATATCTTAAGTGCATAATAAACTTTAGTCTCATATACCATGTGTAACTCGTACAATCTGATTAACTTAAATAATAATAATAAATTTAATATATGGATTTTTTGGTTGAAACATAAAAAAGTCTTCCAAAAAAATCTCTTCATGTTAAACCAATAACATCTGTTTTTTTCCCACTCCAAAAAACTAGATTATTTTTCTCCCTTTTCCCCAAAAAAACATTTAAAATTAAAACTCAAATTTATTAATATAAAATATGAAGATATTGCTCATATTTTAAAAATTTATTTTAGAGAAAAATTCACCCAATAAGGGTACGACCCAAAACAAAAGCTAATCTGAGATCCAAAAATGGAATTTAAAATATTCAGTCAAGATGTGGTAACTTAATAATATACCATATTGTACACATTGCTTTTCTTATAAACAATCACTGAGGATGACTAGTATTCAAGCTGCTGAAGCCTACAGAAAATTGGTAATTAATTCTAAATTTAGGCCAGATGGCTAAATGAACTGACTGCATAAAGTTTTAACGGTTCTCCTTATGGAGTAACACAAGACAGTTATCCTTAGAAAGTTTACCATGAACGCACACCTTATCTCAAACAGACAGCCTTCATGTGTTTTACTTTTTATCAAGACATCTAATCCAACCCTCCTAAAAGAAGGTGTGGGAAGAAATGGCTGATGAACCAGGATGATCTCCTCCCTAAATTTTCCTACAATAGGTGGAGGTTTATTATAACATCTCACTGGTAATTTCAAATGCGATTTTTTTGCAATTGATTTCTTGAACATTCATTGAATATGATAATTGGCTTGCCCTATTTTAAAATTAAGCATGTCAGGACATATGAATCTAGCTCTAGGAAGTCTAACCAATACAGACATCCCACAGTTTTTATGTTTTTCCGTACGTTTTCATTTACAATTTATCTGTTCAACTTATAATCCACTTTTCTGACCAGTTTAATACTGTTGTTCTGCTTTATTAATAACTCTTTTATATGTAAAAAGTTATTTAGATATCACACGAATTTCCAAATGATTTTTTGTGGGTTATTTATGCTCATAGTAATATTTTTTTTTTTGGGGGGGGAAGACTTTTTGATTGTTTCTAGCTTTCTAATAAAAGTAGGTGACCAGCAATAAATCTCCAAGTTTAGAAGCATTTGCAATACAGCAAACCCAAATCCATAGCAAACATCAAGTTTGTGAAGTCACTTTTTTTACTTGACTAAAAAAAAAACTTTCTTTGTATTTAAATGATGATCATTTTCAATTTATTATCAAGTGAAAATAAAGCTACTGCACTCTAAAAAAAAAAAGTTTTTTATCATCCACCTGAATTTGTGAAAATGGGCATGAATACAAATTCTTCAATATGGATCTAAGTACGCATTAACACTGCTCCGGCTTTTCCTTGCTATTATTTCAGACATATATTTAGTAAATTTATACAAGTCTACTTCAATATTTTATAAAACAAAATATACAATTTAAAAATTTATTGGTAATTACAAACTCATAAAATACTGACTTACAGCTGGTTTTGTCATATGGGAAGTAGCTGATTCTAAATGCTCTAAAAATAAAAAAATAAAAATAGATGAATTTTAACAGCTGCTAATACCACGCATTAATAATCTTAACTGCATACAAATAAGCATAATTACACATAACAGAAAATGATTTATAAAGTTTCAGATATACATGCATACATGAACACATCAAACCATCCATACAATTCTGAACCTGGTCGTGATAACAAAAATGTACCCCAGAAACTCACATCAACTTAAGTTACTTTATTAGAGGATTATTACAATCTTTTAAAGGAAATTTAATATAGATTATGTAAGATTTATTTTTTGTTTAAATGATATTTTTAGTGTGTGTTGCCTTATCTTCAGCAATTAAGTCTACAGAATGCACATAATCGCATCCTTGCGATAGAAAAAGGGGATGCAATTTAAATACACATATCGTAAGTGGTGGGTTGTACTCACAATATAACATTCAAAGAAACATCAAATGATAAGAATCTCGAAAGACTACATTGACTCCACATGCAAACTCATTAAAAAGGATTAACATTTACATACATATTTTAAGATATACCTCGTAATTCTTTATTATGTTCTTTCAAACGTATGACTTCCATTTCTAATCGTGTCCTTATTGTCCTTTCTAATTTCTCCCGCTTTTCTGAAGAAAGTACTAAATCTTCATGAGCTTTGTGAACCTTCTGTATCTCCAATTCAAACTGAAACAAATTTAGAAGTAGAATATTACAAACAGAAACATTATTTCCTTAAAATTTCAATTTAGCATCCTGAAATATATTTTTTTTTTCAGCTTCCTAGCATCTAAAATGTTGAACTAAATTCAGAGCTCTGATTATTTTAAAGGCAGAAAACCTCATTATTGCTGCAGCAATAATATTTTTTATTGGGTTGCAAGCCAATAATTTTAAACTACTTTATAAATTTTAATTGTATTGCATGTCTTTCTAAACTTTAAAACTAAGCCATAAAAGTGCACATATTTTACAGAAGTTTAACTTTTGGGTTGTTTATTCTATTATTAATAAAATTTTGAGTTCTATACTCAAGGATCCCATTGCAGATATGGATTCCTGGGGTACTTACCGGATTCCTTGCCAATGTGGTTTAATTTACATTGGTCAAGCTAAGGGAGCCTTAAAATTTCGCATTCAGGAACATGAGGCATGTTAGAAAAAAGGAAACACAGAAGTCTTCTGTTGCCCAGGATTGTTGGTCCGAAAATCACATTTTCAATTTTTCTGCATCCAAAATTATTCAAAAAACATTTTCCATTGGTTAAGTTAGATTTTCTACAGGCATTTCATATTAAAAAAATCTAGTTCTAGTTAACGACCCTAATTCCAATCCATCTTTGCCTTCAGCCTTTAACCACTTGTGCTAAAAAGATGTGCCACGCACAGCGAGATGCTTTTGTTTCAAACCGCGAGCAACGTGAACACCATGTCGATAGGCATTTATCGCAAAAATGAAAATAATGTGGTGCACATGTAGCCTAACAATGAGATCATTTATTTCTTGAGTTACAGCTCTGGAAGCACTCACAGATGCGGAGCGGCGCAAATGAGACACGTTACCGCTTGTTATATTATAGCACACGGAACCGCAACCGTGAAGTTTAGTTGTAGCGCAAGTGGTTAAGGAAATTATGTTTTAGTTCTCATTTCATCAACAGATGACGCCATTAGCGCAACTTCTGTCCAGCCTTTCTTATCTTACCTCGTTCATTTGCACTTTGGCAGCTATGGCTGATTGTTTAATAAAACCATCAAAACTAGTCCTGTAGAAAATATTGCTGATTTTTGTTGTTTGACTTCTAAATTAATACTTGTCCGGCGTGTTTTTGTATCTTAACCATCTTTCATTGTTTCAAGTACACTCAAAAAACACTGAGGCAAGACAGGATTCATTATGTATGAAATCTTATACTTTTAATTACAAGATGATAAAGATTAAGACACAATAACACGACGAATAAATACTAATTCAGAAGTCAAACAACAAAAATCAAAATTTTCACAGGACTAGTTTCGATGGTTTTACCGAACCACCATCCTCAGCTTCAAAACTGCAAATGAACAAGATAGGAAATAATGATTAGATAAGAAAGCCTGGACAAGAATAAGCAAGTGGAGAAACCAGCCTATTGGTGAAACCAGAACTAAAACATAATTTCTTTAAAGGCCGAAAGTAACGATGGATTGGAATTAGGATCGTTAACTAGAACAGAAAGATTTTTTTGAATGTGAAATGCCTCTAGAAAATCCAATTCTCCAATGGAAGATGTTTTTTGAATAATTTTGGCAGCAGAAAAATTGAAAGTGTGATTTTCGGACCAACAATGTTGAGCAACAGAAGACTTCTGTGTTTCCTTTTTCTAACATATGCCTCATCTTCCTTGACGCAAAAGGCTTTTAAGGCTCTCCTAGTTTGGCCAATGTAATGAAACCACACTGGCAAGGAATACTATAAATTCCCCCAAGAATTCATATCCAGAATGGGGTCCTTGAGTATGGAACTCAGAATTTTATTGATGGGAGAATAAACAACCCGAAAGTTAAATTTCTGCAAAATATGTGCAACTTTATAGCTAATTGATAGAAAGAAGAGAATGACAACAAAATTTTTTAACTGCTTGATTAATAATGTTGGGTGAAAAGCCCCTGTCAATAGCTATTGCTTTTAAATAATTTAGTTCTTCATCAACGGCTAGTTTGGAGGAGCTAGTTGAAGAGCACGGAAAACATAGGAATAAAATGAAACTAACTTTTGTTAAGTCGAATGACATGATTTAAAGTGTGGTGGAAGGAAAACCGATGAAGGTTTACAGTAAACCGTAGCACTGAAGTTGGATGTGTTACGCGTGACCCGAATGTCGAGAAACGGAAGAGAATTGCAAGTCTCAAGTTCAAAAGTGAACTGAATAGCAGGATCAATAGAATTCATTGTTGAAAGAAATTTATTTAAATCGTCTTTATTACCTTCAAACAGGGTAAAAGTATTGTGTACGTAGCGGAACCATGCCGGGAAGTTTAAAGTTTCAAACAATTTTGATTCATAATAATGCAGTTCTATGATTTGTGAAGATTTGATCGCAGTCATTTTAAGCAACTTAAAACATTCGCTTATCCCATCTGTTGCGAATTATGCCAGATTATATGCTCTTCCCAAAATTCATAAAAGTGGCATTCCTTTCCGTCCTATTGTATCAAATTTAGGTACTGCCTCGTATCCCTTAGCTAAATATTTAGTTTCTAGATTTTTAACTCTATTAGACAATAACATCTACACCATAAAAAATTCAATAGATTTTGTAAAAAAGGTTAAAATCATTTCTCCTAGAAATTTACTCATGGTTTCTTTTGATGTAAAATCATTATTCACCAATGTTCCAGTGGAGGGTGCATTAAGATGTCTAGAAACCAGACTTCGCGAATTTCATTTCTCTTGCATCGAAATTGATGAGCCAATTTCTCTCACTCAACTCTGTTTGAAACAAACACATTTTGTTTTCCAAAATAAATATTACAAGCAAACTGAGGGATTAGCCATGGGAAGCCCCCTCAGTCCCATCCTGGCTGATATCTACATGCATTATTATGAATCAAAATTGTTTGAAACTTTAAACTTCCCGGCATGGTTCCGCTACGTAGACGATACTTTTACTCTGTTTGAAGGTAATCAAGATGATTTAAATAAAGTTCTTTCAACAATGAATTCTATTGATCCTGCTATTCAGTTCACTTTTGAACTTGAGACTAGCAATTCTCTTCCGTTTCTCGACATTCTGTTCACACGTAACACATCCAACTTCAGTACTACGGTTTACTATAAACCTTCATTGGTTTGCCTTCCACCACACTTTAAATCATGTCATCCGACTAAACAAAAGTTAGCTTCATTTTATTCCTATGTTTTCCGTGCTCTTCAAGTTTTCTCCTCCAAACTAGCCCTTAATAAAGAACTAAATTATTTAAAAGCAATAGCTATTGGCAGAAGCTTTTTACCCAACATTATTAATCAAGCAGTTAAAAAATTCTCATCTCAACACACTAAAAGGCACACTCTTGTTTTAGGAGATTATAAAAATTATGTTTTCATTCCCTTCTTTCCATCAATTAGCTATAAAGTTGCACATATTTTGCAGAAATTTAACTTTCGGGTTGTTTATTCTCCCATCAATAAAATTCCCAGTTCCATACTCAAGGACCCCATTCCGGATATGAATTCTTGGGGTATTTATAGGATTCCTTACCAGAGTTTACATTGGCCAAACTAGGAGAGTCTTAAAATTTCGCGTCAAGGAACATGAGGCATATGTTAGAAAAAGGAAACACAGAAGTCTTCTGTTGCTCAACATTGTTGGTCCGAAAACCACACTTTCAGTTTTTCTGCTGCCAAAATTATTCAAAAAACATCTTCCATTGGAGAACTGGATTTTCTAGAGGCATTTCACATTCATAAAAATCTTTCTGTTCTAGTTAACGATCCTAATTCTAATCCAAATTTGCCTTCGGCCTTTAAAGAAATTATGTTTTAGTTCTGGTTTCACCAACAGATAGCGCCACTTGCTTATTCTTGTCCAGGCTTTCTTATCTTATCTAATCATTATTTCCTATCTTGTTCATTTGCGGTTTTGCAGCTGAAGATGGTGGTTCGGTAAAACCATCGAAACTAGTCCTGTGAAAATTTTGTAAATATAACGCTGATTTTTGTTGTTTGACTTGAATAAGATGATAATGTTTGAAGTTTTGCATGACACCTATGATTGCGTAAAATGATAAAATCTTATTTTTAGAGGAGTTATAACATTTCTTGAACTTTTTTCAAGTGGGGACCACTTTCATAATTAGAATGCTCTGTGGACCACCTCACAACATTCTAATTATGAAGTGCATTCATGTGTACATGTTGTCCTCTTGAAAAGCAATTTTTTTTCAGTGTATGTTACTACCAATATATTTTTAAAACACAAGTAATTAAAATTAATTTAATTTGATATTAATTAATTGATAAATTTCAGATTTTTAAAAAATAATTTAAAAGTTTTTAGTTCGGATAATTTCTACTTCATTAATTAAAAAATACAGTTGGTACTCACTTAAGGAAATGGATGAGCCTGCGAATTATTGCACAGCTGTTTTTTGGACGTATACTAGTTGATGAATGCAAGATACTATTAATAAATTCATAAAATGTCAAATGTTTTGAAGTCTTTGGAGAAAAAGTGATAGACTGCCATTTCAAATTCTGACATTTTCATCTGTAGTGTGGTACAAACAGTTAATCTGAATTTAATTTTTTGTCTTTATATATATGTGTGTACCATTTTTAATGCATAATAGTAATCCAGTATTTTTAACTTCTGGCTGTAGACATGGTTGAGACATGGTCTGAGAGTAAAGGCATGACGACGCAGTCAACACAACTGAGCTTGAAGTATCACAAACTTTATTTTTATGCATATTAAATCACTCTTTTGCAGACAAGTTATTTTAATCAGTGAGAATACAATAATTTCCATGTACATAGGTTTTTAAAGTATGGCATAAGCAAAGCAGCAGAGAGAATTTCTGCAGTGATGGAAGCTAGGAAAATGGAGTGGGAGAAAAAAGGGATGCATACTTGCTTGAAGCAGTATTTATACTGCATAGGTGCAAATGTGAATTTAAGCCACGATTGATTAGTTCTAGTTTTAATTTCCTTTTTCAAGCAGTGTCATGTAATTTGGAACGTTCTCGAATTTGGGAGAAAGGATGAACTTAGGAAGAACACCAAATTTAGAATTGTTAATTTTTAGGTCACTGATCATTTGGATGCATAGTCATCGTATGCCATTATATCTTCCATGTGTGTGTATATATATATATAAAGGAGAATATCAGGACAGGTTTTTGGGGACAACAAACTGAAAAACGCTAAGTTATAACAACTTTATGCATAAACACATGATTGGTACATTATACACATTCAGAGGATTCAGATTTTGATATAAAGATATCAAAGAAACTCACATTTGTTGTCATTTGTGTGTACATTTTAATTATACAACATACAATTAAAAAATCATTATTACCTTTTGCAATTTGGAGACTTTTTTGTAATACAAATCTAATTCAGTTTTCAGAGCAGTATTTTCAGCAGAAAGCAATTCTATCATCTGATTAGCCTGAAGAGTGGCCAATTCCGAATCAACACCAACAGCAGCTCTACCATGTGTCTCAGGTCTGTAAGAAAAGAAAAGATTTTAATATTTCAACTAGTGATAACAACTAATACCTTTTATGTTTAATATACATGCTTACATGCATACACAAATAGAAATATATATGCTGCTAAAATAATACTGATTTGAAACACAAGAGAGTAATTAACATAAATCACATTTTTCAAGAGAAATTACACTGCCTATGGGGAGATTTTAAAAGGCATCAAAAATCCTAAACAACTGAAGTCAAGCTCTGATGCATAAGCAATTAAAAAAAAAATCCTCCAAACAATTTTTAACACAAAAGGTAAGAATTATGAAGAGAATGATGTATATGTTTGCTTTTGTCTTATTCAATAAAGCAAATCATATTTGATGAGATTTAATCACATAGGCAAATGGTTTACACACGATGATTCAAAAACCATTTACAAAATGACATGGCAAATCAGGCATACATCAAGGATCAAACATCACATAGGATCATAGGGTCGCAAATGTTATCCAGAGCTACTAAGGGTATTTAAAATAATACGTAATACAAAGACAAGAAACAAAACCATTCCAGATCACTTATTTATATTAGTCACATGTTACAAATACAGTCAAAAGTCGTTAATCCGGACTCGTCGGGACTTCGGCGATTCCGGATTATAGATCATCAGTTTAAATCTGGTAAGATGGCATGCAGAAATTATAAAATTAAAAATATGAAACCATAATTTATGAAATAAAGAACAATTATGATCTAAAGAATATCAAAATTTACAAAAAAAAAAGCTTAATATTTACTTGTTTCCTTTATTAAACATTTCTTCAATGTAAGTTGTTTAAGTTGCTTCATTTTTTATGTGATAATACTTTCTCTTTAATTCTATAAACAGACATAATTTCTTGTTCAGTTATAAAAGTTCCGCTGTTCAAGTCCTATAAATTGCTGTGTCGAGAATACCGACTAATTTGTCAATCGAAATTTTTTCGTTTTCATAAACTCTGTGTCACTTTCTTCGCTATCTGTGTCACTTTCTTCGCTTTCTGTGTCACTTTCTTCACTATCGGAAGCGAATTATTCGCCCCCTCCCCACCGCAGAGCAGCGTGAAATTGATAAACAGATTTCAGAATGGTTAGATAAACAAAGGACTTTATCCATTTTTTGCAGCAATTCCACTTTTTGTTTAATGGACTTCGAAACATACTTTCGCTTTGTAGATCCTTTACATATTAGTAAATATATAACGGAAATTCTATTTGACATAATCGAAAGTTCAAACTTACTTTTATAAAATTGCTCTAAGAGTCTGCAAAAAATAATAAGCCAGATCCAATTTGAAGATTAAGGAACAACGCAATCTGCATTATTAACTGAATTAGATAATTTTAGCTTAGCTTATACCGTCCGTTATACATTAAACGAGCATGCGTAAACGTACTTTGCACATGCGCACACGCATATTCGCAGCCGTAAAGGTCTTTGTTGGAAAATACGACTTATTGTAACCCTTTTTCTGCATCATCTCTCCTCCTTTAAATATTTATCTAGTTTAGTTCTTATTTTAAATGGATATAGTAGTTACTTCTACTTCGTTTTTCACTGTGGCTGTTTTATTAAGAACTGACTGTTTCAGCCTAATTAAGATGCAAAAACGAAACTTGATGTTACGTCATCTGAAAAGCCGAGTCGTGCCGATAGCTGATTGGTTGCAGTGAGATGACGTCATGTCTACTTTTGGTATAAGTATCTCGCATCGCTCTGGCTCATGCCTTCTAGTTCCTGTTTCTTGGCTCCTTGGTGTGCAGTTTCCAGCCCCTATTGGAAGACGTCTTGCGATGCGTGCAGTCCGGTGATAAGTTCCGTGGTTCCAATCTACAAGATGACTTTTCCTGAATAAGTTCCGTGGTTCCAGTCTACAAGATGACTTTTCTTGGATTCTCAAAAGAAGCTACGATGTGAGTGACTGCCGTGGGCGGCATCTATGTTCTTCATGAAGGCAGCATTTAACACAAGTTAGCGGCGATGTTTTTCTAAGCCGTGATTCCTCGTGTTTGGCCGGTTTTAAGTGCTCTCAAGGATTTAATTTAATTTTCAGCTGCCTTCTTGACCATTAAGCATGGACTTATTGATAGTGTAGCTAATTTTATTAAAACCGCATAATTTCTGTTTAGGATATGTTTTTCGCGTATTGAATGCCAGTATTTTGGAGATCAGGTAAAATATTATTTAATATATGAAATTTTTGATGATGGTTTTATTATAAATTTTAAGTTGATTAAATTTATTCATTGTGTTTTTATTTTTATTTTTTTTATATATGTATTGTTAATAAATTGGTTAATTTTAAAACCTTTTATTGTCTTCAATGTCTGCACAGCACATAACCTTAGGGAGCTTTTATTGCTACTCTTGCTAAAAGTTTATTTTTACAACTTTAAACTTTGCTTTGGCATCAGTCTTACGCGCATGCGTCAATGCGACGCCTGTGCAGAAATTTTGTAGCTTTGCGGTCTGGATTATTATTATAATAACCAGATTATAGATCATTCCAGATTATGGGTGTCCAAATTAATGACTTTTGACTGTATATGACCACCACAGGAGATGCTCAAAGTTTTTTCCAGATGCATCGATGCTGTGCCTCCTCAAAGATACAAAGTGTACCTCGAACACATCCTTCTGCCATAACAATTCTTCCAACTAAGTCTTCTGCCATTGACCCAAGTCCTTTAAAAAAAACCATACAAATTTTTAAAAAATCAATTAGAGACAGATCTGGTGATTATGGTGACTATGTTATTGGTCCACTGCAACCAATCCAGCGCCCAGAAAAAGTAGCCAGCAGATGTGTTCCAACTTGTTTGCTGAAATCGAATGTGTCAACAGAGACATAGGAATATCATTCAGCTTGTCTGGCAGAACCTCCTGCAATATAAGAATGTACAAACCAAGGAGGTTAGAATAGATGGAGTAAGCATGATGTCACAAAATTGAAGCCGAGGAAGGATCGACAGCGTGACATCACGACTGATCAGTATGGCTGCCATGTGGCATACGGATAAGACGGAGGTTTGTTTATAATTCTATTGAAACTGTGCAGCCAGATAAAATGGGTGAAAGTAGTGAAGGATGTAACAATCATTCCCAATGCTACGCAGCTAATTTCATAATAAAATGCCATAAACAGGCATTTTAGTATTTCTATTATTCTGACTTTATTGCTACTCGCTATTAGTTCAGAATCGTTTTGTTGACATATTTGTTGATCGTTTCGACCTGATTTTGAGAAATATGGATAGATGTGCTGCAGCAAATTGTTTAAATCAGTCTAGAAATAACTTTAGGATGTTTTGTTTCGCAAAAAATGAAAAAAAGACGAAGAAGAAGTAATTTTTTCTGGTCGAGATCAATGGATTTCGGTCGCAGGAGCGTGTTTTTGTGAGGTAAATGCAGCTTCGTATTTTTCCATAGAATATTAGAAAAATTCCCTTATTTTTTTTCAAAATGTGTACTTTCATTTAGCTGTCACTTATTGAGGCTGAAATGATTTTAAAAATATTAAATCAATTGTGGAATGTTTGTGCATTTGTGCAGCAAAATATCGCCAATACTGTATTTTACTGTTGCTAATAGTTTATACTCTTTGTAAAATTGTATCCTACATTTCATGTAAACTTTGTCTCGGTTGGGATTGTAATATGCGTTTTTTTATTTAAATTTTACTCTACGAATAGTGAATTAAAGTCGTATGCTGTATTTTGATTCTGATGTATTGTCGCCAAATATATCAGTTGGCGCCAGTGTTAAAAATTGGTTAGTATAACATAAATTATAAATTGTTTAGGTTATTCTGTATAGTAAGGTAAATATATTCTGTGTCCTTCAGGAAGCTTCATAAACTTAATTATTTATTCTTAATTTTGTCCTATTTTCATATAAAAGTTAAAATTTTTCACAAAATTTCATTCTTAATAGTGTGATTAAATTCATTTAGTACATGCAACTGTAATTAAATACTAGTGCTTTTGATTTTAATGTTAAACTTCATACATGCTTTTGTTAAATTTGAAGGTGCATTTTGAAGAAAATCAGTTTGAATGTTCTAGGAAAGATGGGTTTAAAAAACTAAAGCCTTGTTTAATGTGCCTAATCCAACACAACTGTTGACCCCACAGCATGTAAAAGGCATTGGGTTTACCAAACTACCATTCAATGATATGCAGTTTTTAAAATGTATTTTTTTTTTTTTTTTTTTTTTTTTTTTTTTTAAGTTTTATAGTTTTCATAAAAAATGTTTCATATTAAAAATGGACTAATGTGTTTTATAAATAAATCAAAATATTGAAATTCAGGCATTATATGATTAAGCTTTAATTTCAGTGCCTTAAAAAATAGATTAAAAATTGAAATTTTTAATAGATAATAATTCATAATACTGTTTAAATTTTGCTGTTATATATATATATATAATTAAATGTGTATTTTATTATTATAATCATATTTAAAATGAGGCATAAAAGCAACCTCAATTTGATATAGTTTTTGATTAAAATTACTGATTTTGAGGCCTATCAGACACAGGTCTCATTTCTTCAGATTTGCCCCTAAAAAAGAGAAACCTGTATTTGATTGCCTTCAAAGCCCACAGAGGTTTGTTCAAAATCAGGATTAAACTAAAAAAAACTTTTTTGCTTAATTTAAAATTTTACATATATATACATAGGAATATGCATTAAGTAAGCAAAAGAACAGTATTATTGAAAGTAATGATTTTGAGTAATATAATAATATGTTTTAATGTCCTATATGTCTCATCCAAGTCCTACCTTTCAGAAGTGGGGCTTCATTGTTTAAATAATGCAAAGTCCTTCACCTATTATAAATTTCAGATTTTACATATATATTGTTTCCATCATTATTGGATAAATTTGAAGTTTACACATTAAGGTATTTATAAAATGTTTGTATTTTGTTCACAAAAAACTTCCATCATGTAGCAGTTACTTTTATGTTATAGAAGATATCA